ATTTGGCATTCAATTCTGAATCATTTTTTGATAACCCAAAATCATATTTAATATTAGGAGATAAAACTAAAGATTGATATGAGCATTTATAAATGGGAAAACAGGACGATGTAAAAGTGGGAGATTCTATGGATTTATATTTTTCATAACTTTGTATTAAACATGGAGGTTTTTTATGTTTCCAATAAGATGAAGACGAAATAAAGATATATAGTTGAGATAACTTTTGAATAAGCGGATGATCAGATAATTGTAAACAACGAAAAAAGAAGCGATCAGATAAATATTGCCTTCTTAAAACCAAAGGTGGATCACCGACTTCGAGCTGTAAAGCATTGATTGGACTTGATTTCATTGCTCCAGAGATAATCCTCAAGGCCTTTGATTGAATTAAATCCAATTTCTTAAAAGCAAATGAACTTCCTGGAGCTAACAAAAAAGTTCCATAATCAATGACACTCCTTATAAGACCATTATAAGCAAGTTTTAGTGAAACGGGATGTGCTCCCCACCAAACTCCAGCAAGGCACCTAAGAATGTTGAGGTTACGCTCACATTTCGTGGAAATATAATTACAGTGGGACAGACCTGTTAATTTATTATCTAGCACGATACCTAAAAATTTAATTTCAGTCTTTATAGGAATGTATGAGTTATCATAAAGCACCTTAATTTGTTGCGGTGATCTCATTCTTGAAAACAAAACTACACTACTCTTGGTTACAGAAAGATTAAGACCATTTGCATCTAACCACGTTTTTAACAAATCTAATGAATCAGATAATTTGTCAGAAGCAGATTCTATGGACTTCGCAATAAAATATAATAAGAGATCATCAGCATATTGTAAAATTTTGACGGATTTATCAAGGAATGATTCTAGATCGTATGTGTATATGTTGAATAAAATTGGACTGAGAACAGATCCTTGTGGAAGGCCTTTCCATACTGTTCTAGATAATTTGGTATCTTCATCTAGATCCATATGTATTGTTCTTTCTGATAAAATATTAATAATGAAATTAGAAAGCATTACCGGTACATTTAAAGCTTGTAATTTAGTTTTTAAAATAGAAATTATTACATTATCATAGGCAGAATTTATATCTAAAAAGGCTGAGAGGATTGACAAATTTTGTGAGAAAGCTATATGAATATCTGAAATAAGAATGCTCACATTATCTAAGGTGCTCTTACCTTTCCTAAAACCAAACTGGTTCGGGGATAGTAAGTTATTACTTTCTAAAAACCATTCTAGACGGTTCTTCACTAAATGTTCAGCTAGCTTTAGTAAGACAGAGGAAAGTGCAACAGGACGGTATGAAGATGGTTCAGAAGGTGGTTTATGAGGCTTTAGAAATGGTATAATAATCTGAGACTTCCATGAAGTAGGTATATTTCCCAAAATAATTATGGAATTAATTATATTTAAAAAGTAAATTAATGTCGCATCGCTAGCATTTTTAAAAAAGAATACGGTATACCGTCTTCTCCCGGTGCAGAGTCTTTAATACAAGCTAGAACACCTTTAAGTTCTACAAGAGTAAAAGGAGACTCAAGTTCGGATAATTCGTCAGAGACGGATAGAGAAATATTGTAAAGGCATTCCGGCACATAACTAGGAGCAAGGCGATCTAAAAATTTATTCGCTAAAGTTAAATCGAGTGCAGAACGTGATGTATGATCACTAAAGGTAGATCTGAATCTTTTAATATTATTCCAAACGACTGATGAATTAACTTCTGGACAGATAGAAGAACAAAATCTTCTCCAACCTTCCAATTTCTTTTTTTTCAGTAGTTTTCGAGTAGAACGTGAAACTGCGGTGTAAATTTCAAAATTTTCTGATGTCATGTAATTATTATAATTTTTTTCAGCCTCTTTACGATTTTTAATTGCTTCCGTACAATCTTTGTCCCACCAAGGTGGGGAGGGAATTTTCCCTGAAGCACTATTTTTAACAGGAAATAATAAATCAGCAACCTCCTTCATATTAATTATCAAGTCATTACAACATTGATGTTCATTTCCATGATAAACAATAGGTAACTCCGATATTTTATTATCTAAATATTGTTTGTAAATATTCCAGTCTACATTTGATAAATTATATTTAAGTCGAGGACCACTCTTTCGACTTGAGGGAATGGAAATTGGAAAAGAAAGAATGAGGGGAAAGTGATCGCTTCCGAAGGTAGAGGAATGAGGATACCACGACAGTGAAGAAGCTAAATCAGAAGAACATATTGAAATATCAGGAGCACTAAACCCTTCATTCGGTGCAGTTCTACGTGTCGGTACATCGGAGTTAATAATACATAAGTTGTAAGTGTCAATTATCGTCAGGAGTTTTCCACCATAAAAATTAGAAGTAGAACTGCCCCACGATTGGTGCTGAGCATTAAAATCGCCCATTACGAGAAAAGGTTTAGGTAAAATTGAAAATAATTGTTCTAGTTGTGAATATATTTGGCATGTAGGATCAGGAATATATAAAGTAACAAAACAGATACCATTTATAATTATAGCAGCTGCATTAATGCCGCTATATACAGGAAGCGAAAAAGAAGAAAAAAGAAGGGAGTTTTTGACCAATATGGCAACACCGCCATATCCGTCAGCTCTATCATCACGGAGACTTGTAAAGCCTGAAATCCTAAAAGAATATCCTGGCTTTAACCAAGTCTCTTGTAGAGCTATTATAAAAGGATTATATTTATTAATCAAATAAAATAAGTCTGATTTCTTATTTGTTATGCTACGACAGTTCCACTGAATTATTTGGATTTTGTAATCCATTGTGAGAAGTTAATAATTGAGAAAATACATTGTACATGGCATCGTTGGACGGTGGTAAAGTTGTTTGTATCATTTTTGATTGCGATAACACTTTAATAAGCATGAGAATAATATCAATGATGGATTGATTATTGTCAATATTATTTGATGATAATGCACAACCATTAGAGGGAGCAGGAATATTATATTCCTTAACTATGGCTTCATGGGCAGAACGATCATATCCTTGTTGTATTTTTTGAGGAGAGCGTGGTTTAAGTGTAACTGTTTTTTTATATGATGATTGTATATGTGGTAATGATGATTTCTCTTTAAGGAAAGAAGATTGAAAATGAGATTTATTGGAAGGAGATGATGATGTTAATACATCTGAATATAGTTTAGAAGTTGGAGGATGAAATTTTGATGCTTCAGCATAAGAAACACAACTATGGGCCATTGTTTCTTTAATGGCTTTCTGACGTGCATATTCAGGACATTTTTTACTAATTGCTGAATGAGAACCATTACACAAGATACAAGAAACATTTTCCTCATCTACTTCACATTTATCACCTGTATGATTTTGCCTGCATTTATAACACCGAGGATTTGAACGACACTGCATCTTGACATGTCCGAACCTACAGCAGTTAAAGCATTGGATAGTAGGGTAAATGTACAAATCTACAGTTAATGATGTGTAAAACATAAATACTCTTTTTGGCAATATTTGTCCATCAAAAGTAATAACAATGGTTTCAGTATTAATAAAACTTGGTTGTCCTTCATTAATTGTCTTTTTCTTTATTCTTCTGGTTTTTAGAATTTTCCCACAACCTATCGGTACTGATATATTTTGGATTACTTCCTCTTCTGTCCAATCTTTAGGAATACCCCTCACAATTCCCATACGGGTTACATGGAAAGAAGGTATAAATGCCTTAAAATTATGTGTCACTAAGTTACTATTATTTAAAAATGCATTTGCATTTTCAAAATTTGAGAAAGAAAGCGATAAACGGTTTCTTCCTATTCTTTTGAGGCTACCATTCACTATATTATTTATCTTATTAGTGTGTAAAAAGCGACCAAATGCAATAGGATGTAATGTAGTGTTATCATTAGGATGTGTTTCATTTTTTTGTACATGAACGACATAAGGTGCTATATCCTCGGCATTGTACAAAGTTCTGCTTAAAGTACTGGGTGGAGAAGCAGGTTTAACAGACTCGGTATTGTTTACAACTGGTATTGATACTTGAGTTTGATTCTCATCTTCAATACATTGACAATCACTATCTTTAATTTTAGATTCAAGACCCTTGGTGTGCCTCCTTCGTTTTTTATTGCAATGTTTGCAAATGCGACGTTCACCACGTACTCGCTTACGTTTAGAACTTGCAACGCTAGAACCATCTGTGTCCATACTAGATTCACCCAATATATCAAAACTATTATTGAATGGAATAGTTATATTTGCAGACACCTGGGGGGTTGTCCCCCCAGGGTCTATAGGTGGATCCATAATGTTAATATAGGTAATTTACTTACCAATATTTACAGCAACAAACACTATTACTACAAAATATACAATTAAATATACAATCTAATACACAATATATAAAAAAGACTAATCCTTATATAAATAAAAATAAAATTAATTTAAAGAAGATCAAAAAACACTCCCGCTTTTTTAAACGTTTCCCGCGCTTTTTTCCGACGTTTCCATTAGTAAAGCTGAAATTATGAATGCTCTCAAGTGCATAATAACTAACATTTTAGTTTAGTTATCAGACTATTTAAATAAATAATCATTCAAGGAATAGTGAAAAATATTTACTTTTAAAAATTTACAAATAATACAGACGTTTCTTACTTCCGGTGATACCGGCAAGTTAAATAAGTACCTGCTATCAGTGATTAGTGCACGTTCTTCTTAAATCTATATGCATCTCGCTCTCGCATGTTAGAGAATTGAATAATTATTGGCTCGACCGGCTTGGCGAATGACGTATGACGTTCGATGACGCATACTCCAGAATGGTCAGTGTTGCCAACAACATTTATTTTATATTTAAATAGTAATATTAAAAAAAAACATAGAATTTATTTGTAAAATTTAGATTTCAGTTACTAACATATTGTGTTATTTTCAAAATTTTTATTCATTATTAGTACGATATCTACATACATATATAATGGGAAATTAACGAACTCACTGTGTTTTGCTGTTTCAGACAAGTTTCGACTTCATTCGGAAGTCTTCTCCAGGGGTCATATAGCGCTTCGCGTCACAGCGTCTCTCACTGCGAACCGCAGCTTACATAGCACCTGAAGATATCAATGCAAGCAGGAGTGGAGGCGGAGATATAGTAATTATTTCACATTTTTCACTTTAAAAACTTTGGAGTAAAATTATAAAACAAAAATAATTAATAGATTGTTTTTGAATGTACAAATGAAATCCATTCATATGATATTTCACTCCGACTAATAGATGAAGATTAGAATATTCAAATAATTTAAAAATATTATTTCACTTATTCTTTTTAAAATATATATGGACCGAGAAATAAATCAATAACATTTATAATCGCTGAAAGAATACACCATGATGAACTTACAAAATTGTACCGTAAGGGTTCCATTTCATTATTTTGATACGAAGCCCTAAAAATAAGAATAGTTGAGAATATAATTTGAAGATTCCTTACTTTTTAACTTTAATTTTATTTTATTTATTGCACTCATAAATTACAAGGATTACATATGTTTACAGTGTCCAACTCCTTACATAATACTCTGTTGTATATAACAATGTTTCACATATTTAATTTATTTATTTTTTATATTTTAATATATTTCGTTTTATAACATAATTTAGAATAACCTTTATAATTATGTATGAAAAATGGTTATCAAAAAAATAACTATATACAAGTCTTCAATATACTTAAAAAAAAAGAGATGATAGCACTATGCACGGCTCTCATATATAAATTTAAAAAAGCATTGAATTTATATTAAAAATAATTTAAAAAGCATCAATATTGATTAATTATAATTTATTCTCTACTTTATTTTCATCGTTTAATTAAGATCAAATTAAGCAATCTCCTCTATAATTTAATAATTCAATGTCGTTTTACATAAATTTGATGGCAAATTGAATTAAATTGTATGTGAAATAAATTGTATTACATAATTCAAAATAGTTTGCAATCGAAAATATACCTATATAAATATTTATACCTATATAAATATCTATACCTATATAAATTCCGTATATATTTTTCTTGACTGCTAGATAAAATTGTCATATAAATTGTATAGAAAAAAAAGAAAAACAAAAGACATGTACACAAAAACATACAAACAAAAAACACAATAAATACATTACAAATATAAATTGTTTCCAATACAAAAGAACCTTATAAAATATTGGTAGCATTATTAAACAATATTTATGTGGTAGATTTCTTTTGTGTGATACTGGCAATATTTTATGAGTAGCACTCGTGCGCAGTTTATTCGCGAATTTGTACGCGCTCGTCTTAAAGTTTATAGTTGCCGGAAAACAAAATTCTAAGAACAGTGCGTATTTGTGTTGTAATAGTTTTGTGTGTAATTGGTTTAAAATTAGATTTTTAACTGGTTAAATATCTGATTTGAATAGTGAAAAGTTCAATAGTGGAATATTAATTTCGGATTTTTTACACATTCAATCGGTACCACTATGATTGTCCAACTACTGAGGTGAGTGGCCTAATTTTACCTTCGCAGTTTTTATATTTGCACTGTGCAACAAAAAATCAATTTTAACAACAGTTTGACTGAATGTCCATTATTACATTGAGTGGGTACCAAACACAATAAAAAAAAAGTTAACTTCGAGCACAGACTTTTTCTTTTTTTTTTTATCATTTCTAAAGGTCTTCGTCTTTCACTATTTTGAAATAATCTAATATGAATTCTCTGTCTAAGTGAATAGAGTTCTTAATACAGCATCCAATTTTTGTTTCCTGGAATTTAGCGCCAATTGTAAATTTTAGCTATTCGCTTTTGTCACATATTTTTTTGCTATTTTCTTTTATATTTTTCTCGTCAACCAACGGTCAAGTTTATGAACTGGTTCAGCTAAAATATATGCTTATTTTTAATTCTCTTCAAACAGAATTAAAAAAAAAAAAACAATAGCAGTTTATTGCATGCAAAGGAATAGTTCCATAAGTATGAAAAGTTATATGTATTTATAGGACCAAAAAGCAATTTTAGTTATTTTAATTATGTAAAATTTATATAGTTAATATAAATTTAATACTTTAATAGATAGATAGATACTCTTTATTGTTTCCTCCAAAAGATTACAACAGTAAACTTATTATAAATATAAATAATTGCAAGAAATAATCACAATGAGAAAACATTGGGCGACCTTATCGCTAAAAGCGATCTCTTGCAGGCAACCTTTGGATGGAGAGGAGTAATTATAAACAGTTTGGTGGGAGGCACGATGAAAAATTTTGTTAGTTCTATATATGGGAGATGTGATACATATAATAATTAATTCTTTTTTTAATTCTTTCTTTATTTAATAACAATTTACACCTAGTTACATCTACTAGCCACCGAACTAGGCTGAGCCTGTATCTCAGTGGTTAGTTACAACAATTAGTTCTCATTATTCAAACAAAAGCAATTTATTTTGTAATTAACACTTTATTATATTGGTAAATCAATTTACTATTACTATAGTTGTCTGGAAAGGATTGATTTAGAAAAAAGACCTTTTTGTACTTCATAATTATGGTGTAATATTGTGTTTTTGAGAATTATTAATAATGTTTCTAATACCCTCCATTGCTAGCAATGTTATATATATACATATATATTGACCTATACACAATCCCTCTTGCAGATCATTATGATTTATCTATGTGTATATATTAATATTATAAACAGGGAGACTGTACAAAAGTCGATTGCTTAGGTACCTCTGTTCCATTTGTGTTTCTACTGTAAAGCTATTGTGTTTTTTTTGATGGGTGAAAATGGATTGGTAACCCCGCCCGCGCTAACGGTGGAGCTCCAATGAAGGATGATTGATGAGAATGAAAACAGGCCAGTTAGTCTATCATGATGAATTCATCAGGAATTAACCATGATAGTTTCCAGGAGGAACCATGAGGAGGTTGACCTGGTTGGGTATATTGCTAGCAATGGGATTCTCAATCTCCATTACTAACAATCCCTTTCCCCCTGAAGCAGTTGTGTTTGCATGACTGTGCTTCAGTTTAAAGGGTGGGATATGGCATGAATTTACAGAGTACAGAGGAATAGCATCTGAGTCCTCAGGAATGGCAACGCATGGGGGGTATCATGGGCGCAACAGTATACTCTATCATGTTCATGGTATTGCTCATGTCTATAGGCGACGGTTACCACTTTTCATCAGGTGGGCCGTCAGCTTGTTTGCCATTCTAAGTTGTATAAAAAAAGAGGGGGGAAAGGGATTGTTAGTAATGGAGTCCCTCTCTGTTGCTAGCAATACACCCAATTAGGTCTACATCCATGCAGTTCTCCATGGAATCCACTTTGTGATTTATTAAATAGCTATGTTGCCAAATCATCTAGTAAAAAAAAATTGCCCCAAAAAGAAGAGGATTAAAGTCAATATCTGTCAGTTTTAATTCACATTTACATTAAGTATTTTTTTCTCTTGTTATTCTTTATTGTACACAAAACATACTGTTAATCACAATTCATTATAAACATAATGTACAAAGGCGAGCTTATCTCTAATAAGAGATTTCTTCCAGGAAAACCTTTTCTTGTAGATTGTGTTATATTAAAAATAAATCTACAAATTACAATCGGCTCTTCCATAACAGCTATAATCAGATAGTATCTTGTGTGAAAATTTGCGTTTTGAGGAGCAGTCCACTGACAGCTCTCTCAGAGTGATTTTGTAAAGCTCATCAGGCAGGGGGAAAGGGATTGTTAGTAACGCGAACTGTCAGTCCCATTGCTAGCAATATACCCTATCAGGTTGACCTCCACGTGGTCCCCTCTGGAAACCATCATGCTGAATTCCAAGTGTATTCATCATTGGACTAACTGACCTGCCTTTTCATCCTCACCTATCATCCATCACTGGTGCTCTGCCAGCGTATACCGTTGGTGCAGGCAGGGTTACCATTCCATTATCATCTATTAAAAAAAACTCTTCAGGCCCTAGTGTCAAGATTCTATACAAGCCATCGTCTCAGTCTTGTAGATTGTCATGCTGTGAGTAGTTCTCCAGCCAGGTCATTCGTATGATTTATAAGGCGCTATTTATATTATTTGCTGTTCGCCCTTATCCCGTCTTTATCCCTTAAATACCTGAAGTTTCAAATTTGATACCGGGGTATAAATCGCATTGGGCGCCTACAATCGATTTTAATATAATATTTGGCTGTTTACATGTTACCAAATGTTTTTTCCAAATAAATATATAAAAAATGTCGTTTTGATTTTTTTTTACTATTTTTCCCCATTAGTAAACACAGTAAAGGGTACACTTAAATATTTTTATTTTAATACATAAAATCAGGCTTTTAAGGGTTAAAAGCCAAAATTGCTGCACTAAATTATATGCGGTTTTCACCGTTGTGGTCCTGAAGCACTGATTTAAAAATGCGCGTGTATATTTTATCTTATTACGCAACCCGAAAGTGGTATAATTCATTGATTTTTCTACTTCTGTCCTTTGTCATTTTTTTTTTTATACAACTTACAATGGCAAACAAGCTGATGGCCCACCTGATGGAATGTGGTAACCGTCGCCTATAGACATGAGCAGTACCATGGACATAACAGAGTATACTGTGTCGCCAATGATACCCCCCCCCCCATGCGTTGCCATTCCTGAGGACACAGGTGTTATTCCTCTGTACCCAGTAAATTCACGCTATATCCCACCCTTCAAACCGAAACACAGCCATGCAAACACAACTGCTTCACGGTAGAAACACGAATTGGACAGAGGTACCCAAGCAATCGACTTTTGTAGAAAGTCTCCCTCAGGTAAATATACTTGCGTTCTCTTAAAAAAAAAATTGTTTATAGTTTACAATTACTTCAACGAATGAAATTTATTTGAAAGAAGAATGTTATTTATATAGGTAATTATATATAATACCTAGCCTTTTTTTTAACGTGAGGAAATCTTCCAAAGACTTTCCCAACTGCTGGAGGGAAGGCAGAGGGAGTGTGTGGGATTTTTACCCACTAAAACCTCACGGTCCCCGGGCTCCCAGGTTGCAGACGACCGGAGCGATATAATACCTAACCTAGGTTTATTTGTCATTATCTATAGGTATATAATTATTAGTCAGTCTGTCTTATTTATTTACGTAGGTTTTTAAGGTAAAATCCAAGTTTTTTTTTTTTATCGGTGAAAATGGTATTGTAACCCCACCTGCGCTAACGGGATACGCTGGCGGAGCACCAGTGAAGGGTGATAGATGAGAATGAAAACAGGCCAGTTAGCGCATCATGATGAATTCATCAGGAATTAACCATGATAGTTTCCAGGGGGAACAGCGAGGACGTCGACCTGGTTGGGTATATTGCTAGCAATGGGATTCTCAGTATCCATTACTAACAATCCCTTTCCCCCCAGTTGAAGTCTTAGACTGTACCTACATAAAACAATGAATCCCCAAAATTCTAAGTCTTATCTGTGCAGGTCATAAAACAAAAAAAAAGAATAAAAACAAGTATAACATGAAGTGAAAGGAGGCAAAGGAATTAGGGGTCTAACAGCTCCATTTCTAACAATGCTCCCTATTAGATCGACCTCCACGCAGTTCCCCCTGGAAACCATCGCGGTTGAGAGGAATAACAACTGAGTCTTCAGAAATGGCAACGTATGGATAGTATCATGGGCTAAACAGTATACTCTGTTACGTCCATATTACTGCTCATGTCTATAGCAGGTGGGCCGTCAGCTTGTTTGCCATTCTAAATAGTATAAATTACAAGAACTTTCAAATTTATTTAGCACTTGCTGACTATATAAATAAACATACAGTCATCTTTAAATCGAAAGGGTTCATGACGTCAATGTAGCGCTCCAATTTATCGTACCGGGCCATCCCATTTTAATACTCTGGAACTTCTGTGAAACACAATTGTCGAGATAGCAAATATCCTTGGCCTAATTAAACCTTATGACATTGACATTAGGGTTTAATTTGTAACATATAATAACTAGACATCATATCACGTGTTTTTTTTTTTTTTTAATATTGGCAAAGGGCTAGTGTTGCCCATTATGGTACTAACAATTTTTTTTTAAAGTATACGAATATAGAACAAAGCCTATAATACAGCCTTGATTTTTTTTTAATGAACTTCAATCTTGTCTAAAGACACCGTCTATCATTATTTCAACCGGGGTTCACCCATTGTTGGTTCTGTCCTCTTCATGAGGTTTACTTCCTCCTCATCCAGGTTTGCATACCGTTCTACCTACTTATATCATCAGCCCAATGCATGGGTTATCCCAACGTTCCTCCCGCCAATTCTTTGTCTCCACTGTCCTATCTTATGCCTTTTTTTTTTATTTTGGCAAAGGACTAATGTTGCGTATTATTCCAATCGTATCTTTTTTTTTTTTTTCAGTAATTTTCTACACAGAAATTGAGTCAATGTCGGTAATTGTACACAGCTTTATCAATGTTATGTTTATTTTGTGATCATCTATTTAA